GCCACTGAATAAAAACTGCGACTTTATCTCACAATTCTGACTTTTTTTCTCAGATTTGCGTGACACAAACTCGCAATTAGACTATTTTCTTAACTCTCAATTGCATGTTATAAAATCAGAATTGTGAGATATAAACTTGCAATCATAAGAAATCTGAGAAAAAAGTCAGTAATTTCTGACTTTATAATGCAATTGCGACTTTATATCATCCAAGTCTGACTTTATAACTTGCAATTGCAAGTTTACATCTCGCAATTCTGACTTTTTCTCAGTTGCAATTACCTTTATTTTTTATTCAGTGGCAGAAACAAGATTCCATAGCTTATCAGTTTGTCATCAGAAGTTACACAGCAGGACTAAAATGACACTGCAAGAACTTCAGAGGACGGAAGGATCCAAAGGCAATTAATCGGCTTTCGTTAACTCCCTAAATTAGTCACAGATGGCAACAGCTTTAAAGAGAAAATGAGAGGAAAAGCAGCTTGTTTTTAGCCACACCTAAATTAAATTGAATGTAACAACTGTCTCACACACTTTACAATCAATTTACTCTGAGGATTCAAATCATTTTCAATGTACGTCTCACTTATACCAGCTTCTTAAAAATGAGAGGGAGAAAAGGGTTTTGTGGGGAAGTGGGTGAAAATATATATTTCTAATTAGTTCATGTTTAATTAAAGATTTAATTATAGGAATGCCTTTTGGGCATTTTCTTCCAGCTTGTTCATTTTTCAGAGTGTTTATTCATTGCCTGATTCAATAGTCTGTTTGAATCCATAAAAGCCACGGCTTGGGTTCAGCACAGATCTAAAGAAGCTCCCGCTTCACATAACACATAATAAGGCCCTGCTTTCATCTCTGTCTTCGGATTTCTGGAGAAATGACATTAGTTTTCTGATGGGAAACCTTGATGTGTCTGCAGCTTAATCAGTCACACAATCATCTCAACAGAAGTTAATTACACCTTAGATGATATTACATAAACCATGAACAACCAATGGAAGGGAACAAAAACACTCACTAGATCTCTGCTTAATTTACCATTTCTGTAAATCACAGAAAGTCTAAATACGGGTATCTTAAGCTTTCAGCAGACAGGAGTTCCCAGGATTTAAATGGATTAGGCAAACCCTTTATACTCTGTCAAAAAAAAAAAAAAAAAAAAAAAAATTTTTAAAAAAAAAAAAAAATTTAATGGGAAAAATAAAATAAAATAATAAAATAAAATAAAATAAAATAAAATAAAATAAAATAAAATAAAATAAAAAATAAAATAAAATAAAATAAAATCTGGTCAGTACATTCCTTTAACATTCCCTGCTGGCATAATAAAGAGTTTAATTCTGGAGCCTGTCTACATCTGTCTCGCTGACGAAAGGCATGCCAAACATTTTAAAGCACTCATTTCCACACAGGTGCTCAGACACATTTTCTAACCAGCTAAGCAATTTGCAAAATGCAAAGTCACTGGTTTAAGACAAGCTTTTGCAGCTGTGTGTGTTTTTTTTGGGGTCTCTGAACTAAATGAAAGAAAAAAGCAACAACATGCGCCTACCTAAACAAATCGTAGTACCTTTATACAGTATAAGTTGGTTATGCACGGTTGATGCAATTAAAAATGAAAGAAAACAGACAATTTCTTTTAGTGTTTGGCTAGACAGCAAAGTTACTTCAACTAAAAACAAAATGATTATTCAAATTTTGCTTATTTTTCTTATTGGATGTTGAAATCAAATGTGGATGCTGTCATTATCTAATCGGAATCTATCTTCACAAATGACTAGCTATGAATTTACACAGCTTAGAGGGAAAAAAAACTTTCAGTTCTTCAGTCCTTTGGAGTGACAAAAAACACTTTTAATGTTGCCAAATGTTGCTAATCAGGAACCAAATGGGAAAGCGAGACATTCAAGCTTAAGAGTTAAGCAGTCAGGTTTCACCTTCTACCATTACATGTCTGTTTATATTATCTTCAGTCCTGCTAAATCAACCTTGAGGACAAGACTTCAGGGACTGACTGCTCTCAACTGAGTGCTTCACTTCTTTATTCTGTTGTCTTACACTGCATGAGGGAATTCAATCATTACTGAGCTTAACGCAAACACTATCAGTTACAGCATGTTGCTTATGAATACAAATTTGGCCTTAAAGGCCACAGTTATTTCTATCACAGCCTTTTCAAGAGCTCAACATTTGCATACTATGAAAAGCTCTGAATGCATAATTCCAATGCAGAGATCAAACACGCTGGAATAATGTTTCCTCAAGGAAAATATTTAAGAATGACCTTATTTACAAAGGTTCAGCATTCCCTAATTCACGTTCTTAATGAAATCTTGATTAGCCAAGAGGAGCAGGACACTAGCCACAGATGCGCTTCGTACCGTTGAGCCTACAAGTCACACTAAAGCAAAAAAAAAATAGGGTAGATTTTTTTTCAAAATGACTTCAAAGGTCATACTCAAAATTGGGGTGATGGGGGACGTTTACTTACGACTCGAGGCTCATTAAATAACAGCTAGACGCACAGAGCAGAACATATAGTACAGAAACAAGTTTTTTTAAGTTTTCAAACTACTTTTTTAAACTCGCCATAATGCAACACTCATAGTGTAAGATGCTCAAAAAAAACAGCCAAAGACATAGACTTAAAATAAATTAATATAAACATAAGGGCAAACTTTTTTTTTTTCCATGGTCCCAAATCTCGAACATGGTAATCAACAAATGTTAATTCAATAAAAATATGAACTCTGAACAGCAAACTAACAGTGCAGCAGCAGAAGCATAAAATAAACCAGTAAAATCATTCTGAAGTGATTATTTTTCAACAAGAGTTATCAATTTTTGAAGGTGCAATGCATGCTGGGAACTTGTACAACATTGTGCAGAATAAAACTGCATTCAGATGACTCCAAGTAAGGTAAACAACTTTTGTTAGAAACATCTTGTTCAATTCACAATTCATCATCCTAAATCTTTGTTCAAGCAATTTTTTTTTTTTACATTTGTTAGAAGAATGTTGCGAGATTTTTTTAGTCTACTAAAATAGTCTTTATATATTCAGTCATTTTCCAGATTAATTCATATTTTTATAAATATTTACTTATTTACTTTGAGTTGTATAAAACTGAAGACAAAAGAGTCAAAAATATATCATTTATAATCAAATCTTTGCTTAATCTCAATATTTCTGACATGCATTTAATTCATATGAAACTAAATTCTAATAAATTATTGTTTATCATTATTATTACTACACATTTTCTCTTCAAACATTTCTGTGGACCCCTTGCACTCTCTTGCGGCCCCTGGTGTGCCCAGAGACCCGTTTTAAATCAACTAAAGCACAAGCACACTGTCAACAGGCTAATTAAATCACTACTGCTTTAAAAAAAAAACAGAAAATACGATCTAAAACTTAGCAAGGTCAGCTAGTCAAACATTTTGACCCCATCCCTCAGCTCACTAGGCTTTGAGCCACAATGCCGTTTAAAAAAACCTTGACAAAACATTCACATTCTTTTGAAAAGGCTCACGTGGCGAACTTCAGCCTCAGTCAGATGCACACCGTGTTCTCATCTCAAACACACAGCGGCTTCAAAAGGCGGCTCCACTCACAGATGTGATGAGATGTTCTCCTGAGATTCACTCACCAGAAACAGCGCGACCTTCTTCAGACCGCGATTCCCCATGACGGCTCAGAGAGACTCGGCTCAGACACAGACAGAAACGGTTGTCTTCTGTCAGCGCGATGACAAGCGTGTCGACATCATGAGGATGAGGAGGGTCTGTGTGCTCTCGCGTTCCCTCCCCTCGCTCTTCTCCATCTCCACTCATTTGTATTTGCTCAAACACAGACCCAATCTCTCTCTTTTGATTCAAGCCAACCAGCAAAGTACACAACGTTTGGAAGAAACTGCTTGTGTGCCACATGGCTTTCCAAAAAAAAACACACACATTCGTGGTGTGAAAGTCTAAGGCCTCTGATGTTTACATTTAGTGATCCAATAAACCTGGACCACACGTCTGAGAGCCACAGACACGCGGCTCGTTAATTACAGTGATTGCAGAATGATAACCACTGGCTGGAGAGTCAGTAAGTCAGCGACCAATCAGAATGGGTTTAGAGGTCACTTCTGACTGAGCCCCATCAACATCAGATATGTGTATCTATACAGATGAAGTACTTGACTGTGTTCATACTAATAAACTTTAAAGCTGCAGTATGTGATAGTGACAGCTAGTGGTTGAAATGGGTACTGCAGTCCAAATTCAAAATATTGTTTCTCCCTCACCTCGTCCTCACGAGACATTTTTATTATGAGCATAAATGCTTATCATATCGCAATTCAAAACGCAATATAATGACAAAATTATATAATTTTGACCAAATTGTGCAGCCCTGTACTGTAAATAAATCTTAATAATAAAATGTAATTTTTTAAACTAGCATAAAACACTTACTTAGTTTAAATAATCTATTTATATTTCATTTTACCTGCATGTCTGTGAACATGCAAATGTGTTGTTATATTATTGAAATATTAACTTAAAAGTGGGTACTTCAAGAAAATATTTTGTTAAAAGGGTTCGGCTGAAAGAACTTCCATCACCCAAGTAATCATAGAATGTCAGAACCAAAGAAGCAATTCAGTTTTGAAGTGAAAAACAGCTAAAGCTAATCCAGATGCTCCTGAACACATTCAATGCAAGCCAAAACTTGACATATTATCAAACCAACCTTTATTTGAAAGCCCTTTAGTTAGGTACATAATGTCTGGGCTATGAATGATAAGGTTCTAGCTTTCCTTAATCACTCCATAAAATCAAGATCAAAGTTTATCTGATGCAAAGTCAAAAATGGCCAGTAGAGGGAGACAAACAACATGACTGCACAAGCCCATTAAACTTCTGCCCGCATTAGATTGTCACTACATTAAACTTAATCAGAAGAATAGTTCTGTTTGGACTTTAAACAGTTACATTTGGTCGCTTACCTTATTCTTGCAAAATGAGGGTGAGCTTTGGTGCTGTCGTCCGGAGGACTGGTCTGTGTTATCATTAAGGTCCGACACAGCGGTCCTGAGGGAGGGAGAGTGGAGGCCTTCCTCTCCTTCCTCCTCATCTTCAGCCTCCTCCTCCTCCTCCTCCTCTTCCCTCCCACTCTCTTCTGAATGCTCAAACTCATCGCTATCCTGGTCCATTTCCTCCTCGCCATCCTCCTCATCGTCTTCGTTCTGGTCTGAACGAAGTCCCGCTCCGACCTGCCCTTCCCTTCCGCCGTTATTATTCCCCTCCTCCTCCTCGTTCTCCTCCTCTTCCTCGCGATGCCGTCTACGCCGCCGGTGCTGCTCCTGCTCCCACATCCACTGGGCACCCTTTTCGGCTCCATTCACCTCACTCCTCCGTCCTTCCTCCACCGGCTCCTCCTCTTGATCCCTCGGCCGCTCTCGTCCGTCCTCTTCCTCCTCGGCTGCTTCTCTTCTCTGTTGCTGCGCCTCCTGCTCCTGCTCCTCCAGCACCCGGTTCATGTGCTCCGCCTGGGGCTGGGGTGCGCGGCCGGAGGTGCTGTTACCTGCCCCAGGCCTCTGCTGCTGGGTCGCCCTGCTGCCGCTGCCCCCCGACAGCAGATCCTGGTTCATTTCCAAAAGCCAGCTTGCTACCTCCTGCACCTTCGCTAGGCTGTCTGAGGAGGACAAGGACTTGGCATTCTGAAAGAGAGATGGAGACGGGAAGTGGTTAAGGCGGATTGTCACAAAAATCAGAAGCATGCATATGGGCTGGTTATTCAAAAAAAGAAACACCATTCTCCTGTTTGCAGCCAGAGTGTGCTGAAGCAGGTAACTCATTCTTTTATTCATGCCTGTGAAATAAAACAATGGACATTTGCATCTAAGCTGGGAAAGATGCAATATGAGCGTGCCTCAAACAATGGGCTTGGCCTGGAAACCACGGCAACAGTATCACTTCAACACACGCAAACAAACATTCATCGTATTCTCCATTCAAGTTTCTGTTTTTACGGTGTTGCATTACATACAATTCTACTGTTTTAATCAAAATCGGTTTTATTTTTAGTGCTAATATCTAGATTCTAATAATGCACATTTGTGTAACCGCATGTGTATTACATAAACATATAAATGACCAATCAAAAGATTGGAGTCAGGAGAATCCTTTTTTTTGTAAGAAATAATTTTAATTGTATTTAATAATGCACATGAAAATAGTACATTAACACATTTGTGTAATTGCACATGTACCATTCAAAATACTGAAGTCAGGAGGATTTTTAAAAAAAATAAAATTATTTTGAAGTTTACTGCACTAATTTTAATTAAATTGAAAAGTGACAGACTTCTATATTTCTATTTTAAATAATTGCCGTTTTTCATTAAAGTTTTCCACAAAAATAGACGATTTCCACAAAAATATTGAGCAGCACAACGGTGTTCAACATTGATAATAATCAGAAATGTTTCTTCAAAATCAGCATATTAGAATGATTTCTGAAGATCATGTGACACTGAAGACTGGAGTAACGATGCTGAAAATACATTTTAAATGTATTAAAATACAAAAATATACTATTTGAAACTGTGATTACACAATATTAGTTTTTACTGTATTTTTCATCAAATAATTGCAGGCTTGGCGAGCATAATTCAAAAACACTCTTACAGACTACAAACAAACACTTTTTTTTATTTCAAATCAGAACATGATTTGAGACTTCATACACAGTACAGCTATTTCAGAGCAATCTCAGTTCACTGTTGGGGAGAGGAAGACACTAAGTGACAAAAAGTCTTGTGCAACACTGATTCACTATTCAACGGCAGCATCAGATTCACTATTCGAGTGGAAATGTAATAATCGAAACCCTGTTACACAACAGATCAAATACAATCACTGACGAACACATACAGCCAGTAGGGGGCATCACTGCCAAACAAGTGCAGTTCATGAAGCAGCTTCCAGACACATAGTACACATCTGCAGCAGGATCCACACAACCATATCATGTTACCGTAAGGATGCTTCATCAGTCGCTAGCCCTGCACTGCAATGCCACTCTTGCATTTTTTATGTAAAATATGCTTTTTTTTTTTTTTTTGCCTTTTGGTTTTAAGACTAGTGAACTTTCAGCAAGGCAAATAAAAATAAAAAAAAATCTTTATTAAACCTTTACACTAAACCACGTGCTAACTTCACAGAAGCAGAGGCTAGTATAAATTTAATAAAAATAAAAATGTAGATAGGTATAGTTTGCTGTTGACATAACTGTTCTGTTGAACATTTAAGTATTTGAGGAATAAATCATTGGGGGAAAAACGCAATTCTTAAGGCCTGTTCAGACCAAGGACAATAACTATAACGTTTTAATTATCATTCTAATTCTACGAGAATAGGAAAGTCCACACCTCAACTATAATGATGATAACAAGAACAATTCACTGGAATTACTTTCAGAACGATTTTTTTCCAGGTGATGAATGATAAAGACAATGACAGCCAATCAGAATCCTCCCAAGCTTGACCAATTAAAGCAATTATATGAATGCAGCACGAGCTTATAAACATCAATATGGTCCGTTGTTGTGGATGCTAATAGTTATCGCTATCTTTATAGTTATTATTCCATGTGTGAAAAAGCCTTGACCGTACTTATAATTTAGCAAACAGGCATCTTAAGGCAATGAGAATTTCAGGTTTCAAAAATACATAAAAGTCAATACAATTCTTTTAAAAAATGACTTCTTGTACATTTTTGATTCACTAAAATGAACCAGCTCAAAAGATTCATTCGTTTGGGAATCTGATGCACTGGTCAATCGGTCAAGTCAGGCACTACTAAAAATTCTATGAAACATCAGCAAGAAACATTTAACATATACTTATAATACACAGATAATTCTGAATGATTTTCAAAGCAGCAACATGCTTTATGAGTCCAGATGGTGTAGTTAAAGAATCTACCAGCAGGGGCTGACAGAAGCATGAAAGCCTGCTAAACTTTCTACCTGTTCTCTAATGCAAACATCCAGTAATACTTCCATATCCATCACCCACTGGATCTATGCATTTAGTCCTCTCCATAGTCCAGATTATAGGGTCTAATCACAGCAAATATATGAAGCCAGAGATCTCAGGGCAATTTCAAACGGTTTAATGCATCTGATTAAATGAGCTTTTTGATTACAGAATCGTTTCCTTTATAACAAGGAAGACGAGATGCACAATCAGCCAAGATCCAATAGGAAAATAATTATGTGGCAATGAACTTCAAATAGACATTTCAATTTCCCCTCCTATAGAGAGGCCGAACCAGGTGAGCTCTATAGAAAAACCTGTGCGATCTCTAGAGATTTGTCTCGTGTATTAACATGCTAAAAAACAATTGCTTAGCAAAGCGTTCAATGCATCTCAATGCAAACGCAAAGCATCTATCAAGCATCATGAAGGTGCTGGACTGCCTGTTAGTATTCATGTCCTGCATGCTGGTCTATCCGTGCAACTGCATTAGACTCGAACACAATTAGTGCTATTAGACTGCACAACTGAACTAGTGTGTGCTCAAGTGACAGTACTGCAACACACACAAATACATTGAGCCTCATTTGAATTGAGGGCGAGACCGTTAAAGTGTATGAAAACTGCCTTAACAACAGTAATCTAGTTTAGTACGCTTCACAGATGCTCATCTCGCCGTAGGTTCCTGCATTTTTCTTTTTGGAGGACAGATGAGTAGGTCTATGTTCCGTAAAGTAGGGACCTGAAGGTCACTTCCAGATACATGTGGACTGGACAGAAAGACAGACAGACCTTCAAGGGCTAATGACAGGATCCTCATTTTTCACCGCGATGTACAAGATATTTTAATTAATTTGGTCAGTTTATTTTAAAGGTCCAATTCTTACTATTAACTACAACTTTTGCCTCAATAATTTGCTGCTTATTAATAGTTAGTAAGGTAGTTGTTAAGGTTAGGTATGGAGTAGAGATTAAGGGATCTAAAATATGCTCATGCAGAATAAGTAGAGATGCACTGATCGACTGGCCAGGGACTGGAATCAGCCGATTTTAAGCATGATCAGCCCGGGCCGGTGAGCAGACGGTTAGTCTCACAGCTTGCTGATTCCGTTTTGAGACTCTACGCTCACTCACATCTGCATGTAAACATGTCAGCGGCGTGGAAGTTCTTCACTGTCAGTGAAGACACGAAGTTCGCAATCTGTAATACGTGCAGGGCCAAAGTAAGCCGTGGGGGACCCACAGATTAACGCTTGTAGATTTTCTTAAAGGGGCAAGTGAGAGAGAATTTCACTTCCCGACCGGACAAGAAGCCTGATTATTTACTCTTTATTTTGAGAGTTGTTTTATCATTTCTTTTATGATGTAAATATTTAAAATATTTTTGCATTGAAAAAAGTGGATTTTTATTTGTATGCTGTCAATTATAGTTCTTAGAAAGTAAATCGGAATAGTCAAAAATCATTATCGGCAGGTCACATTTACCAAAAAATATTGGAAATCGGAATCAGCCAAGAAAATTGCAATCGGTGCAATTTATAAGTACTAATAAACAGCTAATATGCTAGTAATATGCATGCTAGTTAATAGTGAGAATTGAATAGTGAGAGAGGAAAAATGAAATATAGCAGGACATCTGAAGATGCTCAAGTCTCTCAAGGTTAATGTCTCAATGTTGTTTTTGCTGCTTAATATTTTTTTTGGAAACTTTTTTCAGCATTCTTTGATGAATAATAAGTTAAAAAAGAACAGCATTTATTCTAAATAGAAATCTTTTGTAAGAATATACTGTTAAAAAATGTGGGGTCAGAACATTTTTTTTTCTTTCGTTTTTGAAAGAAATTAATACTTTTATTCAGCAAGGATGTGTTAAATTGATAACTGATAGCAAAGACTTACATTGTTAGAAAAGCTTTCTATTTTAAATAAATGTTGTTCTTTTTAACTTAACCGTTTCCAACATTGATAATAAATCAGAATATTAGAATGATTTCTGAAGATCATGTGACACTGAAGACTGGAGGAATGATGCTGAAAATTCAGCTGCGCATCACAGAAATAAATTATAGTTTACAATATATTCACATAGAAAACAGTTATTTTAAATTGTAATAATATTTCACAATATTATTGTTTTTTTCTGTATTTTTTAATGGAATAATTGCAGCCTTGATGAGCAGAAGAGGCTTCTTTAAAAAAAAAACATTAAAAATCCTTTTTTTAATGGTATCAAAGTTGATCATAACCATATGAAATCAACACGAATATAAGGAGTACATTTCTAAGAACTTGGCACATGTGTTCTGAACTAGATTTTAAAACGAACTTTTCTTCTTTATTGTTGACACTCATTTGTCATTGACCCTCAAATCACTTGGGAAGACATCTGAATCATTCAGACTGGGTATTTCACCACCACAAAATAACCCAAAGCGCCTGGTTTGAATTCAGTGGTAAGTGTACTCCAAGGGACCCAGAGAAACAAAGACTTGAAACAAAAACTTCTATAACAAATTCATCAAATTCTTGCATCAAAAGCCAGGAAAAAACACTCCAAAACGAACCAAGACCTAACATGACTAACAAATACCGCACAGTTTATGCGATGACACGGGAAAAACTCCATCCCAGCTTTGCTTTCCAGACATGTGCTCTGATACGGAAAACTGGAAGCATT